CGATTTAAATAGTTATTTTGCAATTTGAATCAATTTGACGGTTCCTAATCATGGGGACAGTAATATTACTGTTCGAAAAAGTAATATTCATAATATACCTGTCACAAACAGTAAAATTACTGTCTGAGACAGTAATTTTACTGTCTGCGACAGTAATATTACTGTTATGGTATTCAATATATCTATATCAGTCTATATATATGTAGATATCTCTGTATATTTGTATATATATATATATATATATATATATATAGTCAACGTCGGAATCTGACCAGAAAAAAAAATTAGTTTTGCAAAAAATTATGAAAATAAGGGTTAGTATGATATATTTGTTCAAATCCGAGATCAATGTGTAATATTTGAGAAATTAGAGTATAATGGATAAAATAGATAAAAGAATATATTATAAATGATATTTTAAACTACAGACATGACATGAGTTTATCTGCAAAACTGTCTTTTATCTGGATCTATATGCATTTAAGTCCCTTCTCATGGACTATGGCCATAGAGTAATGGAGTGATATTATTAGAGAGAATGAGAAGACTCATTATGTTCCATAGTGTTCAAACATACACAGTCAATACATCATCTCCATAAGATTAATGTTTTTATGTACAATAAAACGAAGCCCAATTTCACCAAAACAGCTATCAAGAATAAATATGCTTCACAGCCGAGAAATGTTTTACATCGCCTGCCTAATAAAAGGGAAGGCGTAAAAATATTCGACTGCCGACGACTCCTTTATCCCAAAATTGCTCGGCCATAAATGTTCAGCTCGAGAGGAAATGTAATTTCTTCATCTGCCTAAGTATATAATGTTTATAGAGGGTGCGATCGTGTTCAACCTGATGCTCCTGCAGCAGCTCCCTTGTCATCTTCCTTTTGCTCTTCTTTGGTGAACTCCTCAATCAATTGCCTCTGCCTTTGGCTCAGATTTCTGATACAAGGTAACACGGAAAACAAGTATTGATCAACGGATTTGGATTAGATCCATGTTGGTACATTGTTTTCTTCGGATGGACCCATAGTTCGATGAGAAGTGTGTTGTGAGTTGCGTGTGTGTCTCTGCAGTTTTTAGTGCGTGTGTGTGTGCACGTGTGCGTGTTGTGTGAAGTGTGTGTGTGTGTGTGTGTTGTGTGAAGAATATGGTATAAATTGGTAAAAGAATATGATGAATATGTTCTACAAAAAAGGCAAAGAAGAAGAACCAATCGTATTCCAACCAAAGGTACTTACGTGGGGATGCTGACGTTGAAGTGCACGTACTCGTCGCCAAATGAAAATGAGTTTCTGACTTTAATCCCTGCACACGAAACAAGATTTGAGAAATTATTATCATCCAAACAACATGCATATACATACAAGATCCTTAAAAAAAAAAAAAAAGAGGCAAAGTACATCATGGAGTAAATTGAGAGGCGCACAAGAACTCAACTCTTACATACATACAAGAAAAAATAATAATAATTAAAAAAGGGGCGGGGGGGGGGGGGGGGGGGGGGGGGGGCCCCAAAAAAACCCAAAAAAACCCCTTTTTGACTTTTTAAAAAAAAAATTTTTTGGCCCGGGGAAACCCCCCCCCTTTTAAAAACGAAAAAAAAAAAGGGGCCCAAAACCCAAAAAAAAACCAACCCCATTTTTTCCCAAAAAAACCCAAAATTCCCCCAAAAACTGAAAAGGGTTTTTCAAAAAAAAAGTTGGGCCAAAAAAAAAAAAAATTTTTTTCCCAAAAATTTTTTTTCCCCCGGGACATTAAAAAAAAAAACGGTAAAAAAAAAGCCTAAAAATTTTTCAAATTTTGCAAAAAAAAAAACCCCCATTTTGGCCCGGGCCTTTAAACCCGAAAAAAAAAGGGAAAGGGGAAATTCCGGGGGAAAATTTTCCCTTTTTTCCCAAAAAAACCTTTTTGCCCGGGTTAAGGCCCCGGGCCACCCAAAAAACCCGGAAAAAAAAAAAAAACCCCGGGCCCTTTCCCCTTAAATTTTAAAAAAATGTCCAAAAAAAAGAAAAAATTTAAA